AGAGAACTAGGGTCCCCTACCCTTGCCTCCTCACCCCAGCCTGGTCGCGTATCTTTTTTTCCTGATCAAATCTTTGGGGTGGACTTCTCGAGTGCTCCGAAGCAACTCGGCCGTGGGGTATCGAACCGTACATCTTCGATGCTCCGAAGAAGTTGAAAGGATAAGGAAAAGGAAGGGTGAAGAAGGAGATGACCTGGTAGATTGATAGGCAGAAGAGGAACGAGCCATTACGTGAAACAGGAACCGAACATTTCTTGTTTCTTCTTTTCTTCAAAAACTAATATCACATCGATCGTATACTTATTACCAACGACATATTCTAAATATTTTATATTCATTTTTTGAATGAACTTTTCGTTTATGAAACTTTAACTTTGATCGAGGTATCGTTGAATTTTCAATATTTATAATGATCGGGATTAGTTGTATCGTTCAGTTTCCACGCGGATTCGAAAAGAAGGATTTCAAAATATTCTATAGGAATATAGAAAGCGGTGGCCGATGATACGCGTGCAGGATAATCTGTATACGCGTGTAGTCCTGACAAAATTTACACGCGCGGCAACAGACACCCTTTAACATCGTTTTTGGAACGCCCCAAGTGTTATGTATCCGTACACCGACCTGACACCCTCACTCAATCGAGTGCGGATCGATTTGACACAAAAAGCCTGATATCCTGTGAAAGCGTACACCTCTCGAAAGCCACCCTGAAATCATTTTCGTGACGCTTCATCTCCATAACACGTGTCGACGCCGGCTAATCATGCCGTTCGAGCGATTTTCATAAACCGTACCGGACATATCTTGAAAAAGATGTACACGGTACTTTTTTCACGCGTTCAATTCTTCTCCTCCCGTCCATTTTACAAGGACCGTAAAACGGGAGAGGAAATAAATTTCGGTAAAAGCAAAGTGTCAGAAGCTCGCCGTATGAACACCCCGTCGAGCGTGGAGCACCTGAGTCCAAGACTTATGTACGCTCGCAGAAGGAAGCTGGATTTACGTACACGCTTGGATTCTTCCCGTGAAAGTAGTGCGTAAGCACTTCTGGTCTTGTTAAATTATAAAAACGAGATATTAATATCAATGAGAGAAAGAGAGGACCGTAATATCGGGACCATAGTGTATTTTCTCTCAGCTCGGAGAGAGTACAACCGTAACAGCGTGTTTCATGAAGAAACAAAAAAATAAAGAAAAAATGTAACGTTAAACGAGCGTAGCGAAAAAGTGGTACTAAATATTCATAGAAATATGAGAAAAAGGAATATAGTAACGAAAAGCGTATCGTTCGGTTTTTTATATTCTTTTTCTGAATGTTTAACTCTCTAAGCGGGGCAACTGTGGCCTAAATTTACGAAATGATGCTTCGACTAAAATGCGACCTCAGAATTTTTAATGAAAACTTTTGTATATTGAAAAAATAATTTTTTCCAAATTTTAAAAACTGCCATTCAAGGGTTAATGCGAAGGAAGGGTGACACACTCTCTATTCGCGATGCTGAATTGGAAAACGAAGGATCGACAGAACGGTGCAAGAATTGATTACAAATTTATAAAGAAACACATCTCTGCGATGCGTGTCTTCGAAGGGACGGGTCTGGCGCCCTTTGGATTCACCTTCAACCTCACCCTATCGTCCTCGAAGAGGTACCGACGAACGTTCTGCAGCGAAAGAAACGAGGCGCGAGAAGAAGAAAAAGACAAAGAGGAGACGAGTTTTTCTAGCGGATGGAAGAGGAAGGAATGGAAAAGAACGAACGAGACGAAGGGATGGGCTGATTGAAGCTGGTATGATGTTTAATTCAAAGAAACTGAAGACACGCCCCGCTAACTACGGAGCAAGCCGCGGCATCAACCCCGAAGAAGACTGGACCAGAAAAGAGAAGAAGAAAAAGAAAAGGAAAAAGATGCCATGATCCTCTTTGCCCTCCTTAAATCTCCTTGGTAATTGCTTCCTTTCACCGAAGCATGACTTTACGCGTATACTGGAACCTACAGACACCATCGAGCCACCCTGAAATTCTTCAAATCAAACGCGACCAATTTAATTTTCAAATAATTATAATCGTCGATAGATTGGATAAATGAAAATATTTCTAATGTTTGTAATTAACGTTCCAGATTGTACAGGAACTCCGCCATCGCTACCAACGTCTACCATTTTGTCTCGGGTGCAGCAATTACCGAGGTTGCATTGCAGACTTTCCTGTGCGCATGCCCTCGAGGGTGAAAGGGTTAAAGTCTGCCCACCCTTAACTGGAAGGCAGGTCTTCCAGACCTGTAATTTCTTCCTCTTGCGTTCCACTTTGCGAAGTATTTCCTCTCTCCGTTCGATCCATCTGTTTCACCCCCTAATTTATATTTTATCTTTGCACTGACTCGTATAGTGATATCAACCCTTAATGGTCCAAAATCTCTTACAATACTTATTAATAATTAATATTGGTATAATATTGATAATTTCTTTTACACAAATCTTTACATATCCCTATAATGAAGCCTTTAATTTTCCATAATATAATGTCTCTCGATGTTTATAATAATTTGTTTATTTATGAAACAAATTATGATAGCTCACGCAATCCCTTTATGATTAATCGGATAATGCGGACAAAGTTCTTTAAGGGGAGGTGAACGCGTTATACCCGATTTGCAACCGCTCCTCTTACTTTTCATTAAATCTAAACCCCTTTTTTTAAGTCCAAAGCGATCTTCACCCTCGACCGCCTCTCCTAGGCGCAGGGTAACCTCTTTTTTTTTCTTTCACCTCCAAAACGCAGCCTCTGGCAAAAACTGACCCCAGTGCGTAGAGCGTAGCTACGAGTCGACACGTGGGTCGTACTCGCAGGCGCGTGCGTTTTGTTTCGTTGAAAACACGCCGGTGAAGCCGCGGGATGAAAAAAGAAATGTATCTGAAAAAAGCGGCCGAGACAATGCACGGGCACAGCTGGTTAAACGTGGAAGGGTTAGCGATTAGCATAAAAGGGTACCATTACACGGCGTGAGACGCAATCGGATTCGAAGCGAGCGTAACAAGCCGTATTTATACGGTGTTTTTGTCGAAGAAAAACACACATGGGTGTGCCAGGATACAAGCGATCAAGTAGCCTCTGCGCTGGCAATTCGAGGCTAATTATCGCGCAAGCTGGATGTTCCATTTTGCTGCGAACTCGGGGTTAATCGTGAATCAATCGAAATATCGTCTCTTAATTTTTTTTTTTCAAAAACAGGATTTCGTGTATTAGAAAATAATGACACGCGATCGATACAAGTGAATTGATCGGTAATTTGTCCTCTACTTTTTTCCATGTGGTCGTCGTGTTGAAAGGGCGCAACAATGGCAATAATCGCTCAGCTAGCGGGAAAGTTTCAAAAATCATTCCTCCACGGGATGAAATAAATCAAAAGGATAAGAGCCGCGGTGTGGAGACTGCGGTGAAAGTCGAAAGCCACCGAGAGGGTAGCTGAAAATTGTCGATGGAGTTATAAAAGTGGGCTCCGTGCCACCCCTTCGAGCGCACCCTGATACCACACACCAGGATGGCTGTCCTCGAATTGTGAACAATGCATTATTTATGTCCGATTGCTGGGTATCCTGGTAACATCGAAATTCCTTTCTGATACTAACCAATCGTCGCTTCTATTATTATTAATAATGACACTTTACGATGAAATCTTTCGTTTGATTTAATTTTTTAAATTATACCGATCTTGTTGGGAATTTAGAGACTTTCCGAAATCTTTCTTGCTCGAAACCTACACGGGTATCAAATTATTTTCTAAAAAATTTCGTTTCTACTTCCCCTTCTCGCAGAAAACCGTCGATCTAACGTACTTATCGTTTGAATTACAGAATCCAGGGTGCTATTCTAATTTGTACCAACGAATGCACCTCTCTTGATAGACTGGCGTTTCACCTTTCCTCTGTATTCACCTTTTTTCAGTCTTTTTTTTCTGAAACGTACTCTGACATCGCGGAAACAGGATGAAAAAAAAAAACAAGAGTGGCAGTAATACGAGTGAAAAGTGGTGCTCGTTAAATTATAACAGTTACAGAAGTCTGATTCTGGATAAAGGAAAACTGGCGAACGAAATGAAACCGAGATGGAGAGAGAAAGAGGGTGGCTCTATATATGCATACGAGAACATTCAGGTGTCAATCAAGAATCGAGACCTTTCGACTTTGGGGTGCGGAAATCGGACTTTTTCCGAAAAAATTTACGTATTCATTCATGCGAACAGCCAGCCTGTCACACGAGTGGAAAAAAAGGCAGGATAAGAGAGAGAAAAGGGGGTGGGAGAGAAAGAGAAGTCGAACGAGAAGTCTGTTTGCTTTTTTACCGCTCTTGACTTCATATTTGAGAGCATATTTTTTGCACCAACCGTCACGCATTGTTAATCTCAACTTATTCTCTTTCTCTCTCGTTTTTTTTTTCCAATCGTCGATACCCCATCGCAAGCATCAGGTAAAATTCAACATCGCGGAAATACAGGGATGAAACAAAAAGGAATAAATTCGGCGTGTATTTTCTAATTATTTTGTTACGCTTTCGTAACGTGACGTTATCGGGTGATGCATTTTCCGTAGTTGGAAAAGCGCGTGATATACGACCCGTTCACCAGCCTCTGGCGTTTTCAGAGTTTCTGAATGCGGGATGAATGTCGGTATGCTTCGTCGCAAGTCGAGCATTATATCGCTTTTACATTTATAAAGCTGTCACACACCGTACTCGGGTATCATTGTGAAATGGGTATTATGCTTTAATAATGGACAGCATCGCGTGTCAGATTCATCCGGTCGAATGGAAATGTACGAAGTTTATTTTGTTTCTCCGCTTGAATCCAATGACGATACATCATAATTGAGAATTATGATTCTATCAGAGAAATAACGCCATCTGTTTATACTTTATGTGTAGAATATTAACATTTCTTCATTATTTTAAACCTTTTATAATGAAGGATGTAAATCATTGATTTATGTAAAAATTTTCTGCTATATCGGTATATTATATTTTTATTAAAAATAAATTACGTTACATTCCCACCTGGTGTAAATAAACTTATCGAATAATACAATTATTATTTGAAGCTGATGTAAAAATTGCAATCAGCGTTATAAATATGCGTTTCACAATATTTCAGTAGTTTGAAGTAGGTTGAAAAAAGTTTCAAAAGTATCAAACAAGATAAATGTTTCTAATTAAGTACCGTACAAATCTTAACATAAATATCATGCAGATGTTGTTACATTTATAAACAGTAATAAACTAATGAACAATGCAATGATGCGAAAGTAACATGAAAATAAATATTTCACGAAATCAATATTTTTCTTATAAAGAATCGCGTTTACGATTCGAAAAGCTAATACTTATTAAATGACATTATATTATGAGCCATTTTGAATGGAAGCAAAATATTCGTTGTATCTTTTCTCTTGTGCTTGCTGTAATTTTTGCAGTTTCTTCATCTGTCCTTTACTAATCTCTTTACCGGAAATATCGTGCGTCGGTATACCCTAAACATAAAACTTTATCAAACACTGTAAAAAGATTTATGCATTGATTAATATATAAATGTTTACTTACATTACTATCGAATTGAGAATATTTATCTTTTTCTAATTTAAACATCTCGGAAGGAGGAATTTTTCTCTGCGCTTCTTTTGCTGCAGCTGCCGCTGTAGCTTCCGCTTTTCTTTTCTCTTTCTCTAGTAACTTTTCCATTTCCATTTTTCTCTTACATTCCTTCTCTCGCAAAAGTTCTTCTTTATTTACTAATTTAACTTTACAAAGTTCTTCGTTACTATCCTCCAAACGTACACCGATATTCGGTAAAATTTCATCACGTAATTTATCACATTCCTCAAGAATATCATTAGCCTTCAATACTTTAGCATGATTTCTTACTTTTTCCCGGAAACTTGCCAAAACCTCGAGATACGGCATAACAGTTTCTTCGACCTTTAACGAAATTTATACGTGAAAAATCCATATTATAAATTAAAGAGAAAATATATAAGGTGTTCGGCTACAATGGGTATCTTTTGAGGGAGTGATAGCTGGGATAATTGTGTACAACTTTTTCCTTTTACCGTAGACGAACACCTACATAAAACATACATTTGAATTTTCGGTAATGCTGTCTACTGGGAAACCAATAGTGTCGTGCGGATATGGTATTGCACCAAATATAGTAAACATTTTTGTAATATAAACTGCAATATCTCTAAGCAACAAAGTATTTTGGTGCTTAACTTGTTTCCTATAAATATTGCAATGTGTTACAAGTTCTCTAATCGCATCAAGTGCACTCCTCGTGTCAATATTATCTGTAATAAAATATTTATTAAATACTATTGACACATAATAATCATAAAAAAAATGTAATAATATGAAATTATCAACTTACCGCATAAGGCAGCGTGTACAGCATCCTTAGCATTACTGAATTTTTTGTTTAACTCTATTTCAGAATTTGTCCATTTAGTAAAGGTATTAATATTTGTTTCTGATCCCAAAGATCTAATTCCGCATTTTACATTTAAGAAAAATTCCTATAATTATATATGTTAGGTATAATATATTAGGTTATTAAAAGTTTTTAAAACATAACTCATAAATGCTTATACCTACATTCAAAAATTTCTCATACTGCATAGCCATATTCATGGTATTATCACTATAATCTAATGTATCCTTCCATGAATGTAAAAGAAATGCAAGTCTGAGTTGTCTTGCTGAATGTTTTTTTAACGCATCTTGTATAGTAATAAAATTTTTTAAAGATTTTGACATCTTGCAACCTGCTATAGTTAAATGACCAGCATGGAGAAAATATCTAACCCAATTAGAATTATTAAAGTATGCTTCTGCTTGTGCTATTTCATTATCATGGTGTGGAAATTTCAAATCAACTCCTCCGGTATGAATGTCTAAACTTTCTCCGCAAATTATCGACGCCATAACCGAACACTCTATATGCCATCCCGGCCGTCCCTTGCCCCAAGGACTGTCCCACCATGGCTCTCCTTCTTTTGAACACTTCCAAAGTGCAAAATCAGTTGATGATCTTTTTTCAGACACCTCAGTACTGCTTAAAACTCCTAATTAAACAAATTTCCAGTCAAAATCTGACACATATATTTAGAAGCAATCAATTCTTACCTTCTCCTTCTTCTAAGCTTGATGTGTCACCATATGCTTCTGGAACTAGTTTAGCATAATAATGTTTATCTTGCTTATCAAAGGAAGCAACATCAAAATATATGGAACCATTACTCTCATATGCAACTCCATTTTCTATAATTTTTTGAATAAATGCTATAATTTCAGGTATATATTCACTAACTCTTGTCAGAACATTTGGCTTTAACACCTAAAAAAGAATATTTCGCTATAAAGTTTTTTTCCATATTTAATTTAAATGTACAGTTGAATTTATCAATTTATTTAATATTACATTTAAAGCATCCATATCCTTGTGAAACTCTGATTCCCAATGTTGTGATAGTTTGCTAAAAATTGAATGTTCTGTGACAGTAGCTCCGTTCTTTTTATCTAGCCACTCAGCTAATGGGTCACGTGCTTCTTTCAATAATAACTGCATTCACAAATTACAAATACAGTGTTTTTATATACAATTATAATATTTATCTTATCAATATGTAGTATTAATATCATATACATACTTCTTGATATTCCTTAATTTTATTATTATCTTTAAGCTTGACTGCATTCTCAAGATTTTCTATTGCTTTTTCTACATCACATAACATCTTTTGTAGCATACACTTTTTATCTACATCATTTGTAGCTTTTACTGTATCCTCAAAGGTACACATTACACTTTTTGCATCATCCAGAATTTCATCAAGAGGATGATCTTCTTCTACATATTTTTCATATAAATAATTCTGCCTAGCTCTTTTTATAATTTTGTCATCTATATCAGTAATATTCATTACATATAAAATATCATATCCAAAATAATCAGACAATACACGGCGTAATATATCAAATGATATATATGATCTGAATAATAAAAAAAAAGTAATAACATGAAAACAGATATTGTTACATGTTGTATTTTGAGAACATAAAAAGTTGGTTTTACAAGTTTCTGATTACCTAGCATGTCCCATATGTGATGCATCATAGACTGTAGGTCCACAACTATACCATAATATACGATTTCCAAATTGAGGAATAAATACTTCCTTATCTCTAGTTAAACTATTGTATACTTTAAGAGTTGCAGCATTTTTTCGCTGTGGTGGACACCAAGGTGGTTGTAGTCTTTTTGCCATTTGTGATCTGTAAAAGCAAAGATGTATGTATGATTATAAAGCAAAAAACAAAAATATATGTCTCTTTTTAATTTGGTTAAAGAATCTTCTTTTTCAAAGAATTTCCACTAATTACTTTTAACTCTCTTTAAATGTACATACAAAGAATATGGAAAAGTGTCAATGTCACATGTTCAGAACCACACTTCTAGTGGTTTCTTTATACTGATATTATTACATTTTTGCAGTCACATACTTATAAAGACAATTATCTATTATAAAGTGATTTATTTGTTCTTTATTAATAACATATAAAAGATAAAACAATGTAAACATTTTACCTATGGATAAGAATTTTTTATTCAGTCAATTTTATATATCTATTCAAAAAGTGAATATAATAATACTGAAAAGCGATATTAATAGATGGAATACTAGGCGTATTACTTTATAGTATTATTAATTATCTATTGCTTATCTATAATTGCAATACTCTTATATACATTGCAGTACATATGAAATTTAACATGATGCAATTTCCATGTGATTACTACTATGCATAGAAAATTTCAGAAGAGAATAGTAGCGTGCTCTAGCGGAGTTCGCGCTCCCTATATTGCGGTAAAGTTTACAGGTTCTCAAACTTCTGCTTAGTCGTTTTAAATTCTAGAATCAGAATCCCTATCATGTCATAAACAACGAAGGTGGTTTACGATAGCTATTATCTTCCAATGGTCCGAATGACATGACGCACTTTATTAATTTACAAAATCTTTGATTTTATTTGATGAAGAATTAAACTGTATTTAAAATTATGGCTCAAGCAAAGCTAAACTCCCAAGAAGAAACAAGTGGGACGCTTAATGATAAAGAGAAAGAGAGTGATGAAAAAGAAGGTACATTGTAAATAAATCTATTTTAAAATGCTATGAAATTGATGTTTATTATATTTCAGCTATTTGCTATTTTTATTAATACATAAAATTTATTACTAATCTTTTTAATGACAGTTTATACAAAATATTTCTTTCAAGTAACAATTATAATGGTATTATTTATTCTTTTTATTAGGCACTACAACAGTATTAGAATGTGCAGTTTGTCTTCAACCATGCATATATCCTGCAAGATTGCCTTGCAATCACATATATTGTTATTTATGTGTCAAAGGAGTTGCAAATCAAAGCAAAAGATGCCCTATGTGTCGGCAAGAAATACCTCCTGATTTTCTTAACAGACCACAGTTAGTGGAAGTTGATGAAGCACAGAAAGAATCAGAGCATTTTGAGGAGGAATATCAATGGTTTTATGAGGGTCGAAATGGTAAAATGCTTTTTTATATCTTCATTAATTTTATTTATTAAGTACATAAATCTAGCAGGGAAAGTGTTACAGACACATATCCATCTTTTGAAGCAAACATTTCCAAATATAAAATATATTACATATACATTGATTTATTACATTTGCAAATAAATAAGTCACTTCATTATTTGTTTAAAGCTTTAAATAAAATATAGAGAAGTTTATGTCCTACCCCCTTCATAGGTTGGTGGAAATATGATTCAAGGACCAGCCAGGATTTGGAGGATATATACAACCTAGGTAGCACCCAGTGTGAAATTTTAATTTGCGGCATGCTTTATGTAATTGATTTTAAAAATAAATATCAGTATAGAAAACATCAACCATATTTTAAACGTAATATTAAGCGGGACAAAAAAGATGCACCTTGCAAGGGTGTCTCAGGAATAAAATAATTATATTTTGCACATCTTTTCATACATATAATTGATATGAGGCGTTTTCAGAACTTACTGGTATTTAAGAGTCATATAATTTATAAAGAACTATATATGGTTTTATACAGCACATAAAATTTCTTGTAAGGTATTGTATGATATAAGGAATATGAATCTCTATTATTTTGTTACAAAAGTTATGATTTAGTTTTAATGTGTATTTGTAATAAAACCTCTGTATTCCAGAATATAAGTTATTTTTTCTTTGTAAATTTCCCAATTAAAAACGTACAATATTTACTAGATAACTTTAAAATGTTAAAGTATTTCTGCACACTGGCTGTTAATTCCCTTGCATTATAGAATACATAACTTGTGTAATTCTTAAATTATATTGTTGCAGGTTGGTGGCAATATGATCAACGTACAAGCCATGAATTGGAAACTGCATACAAACAAGGCAAACGGAATTGCGAATTATTAATTGCTGGATTTCTTTATATTGCTGATTTTGGTTCGATGCTTCAATTACGTAGAAATGATCCTTCTAGACGAAGAAAAATTAAACGTGATTTGTATAATGTACCCAAAAAAGGAGTTGCAGGTTTAAGATTAAATCATCAAGATGAAGAAATTATTAGAGAAGTAAGGGGAGCAGAAAGACCAGCTAGTCCCGCAAGTGATGATATGGGTATAATGTTTAGTAAATATTTTTATTTATTCAAATTTTAATGTTGTATGTAATAACTTTACAGTGGCTTTTAACTATTTGGGTAATATAATTTTATACTTAAAGGCACAGGAGATGGTACAAATACTCCAGTACCTCCAAGTAATACACCACAAACACCAGCAGGTGGAACAGCAAGTGGTGATGCTACACCTCTAAATGATAGAATGGAACAAAGAGACTCTTTGCATCAAGTATTAGAACAAATGCGTTCCTTAGTTCTGAGAGAACATTTATCTTCAGACACAGACGATGAATTAGATGAAGATGAAGAAACTTCTACTCATCCTACATTATAATGACTACAAACGTCTAACATTTCCTATTCATCAAACGAAGATCAATTTTGAAAAAAGCTTAAATTTATTAAAATAAATGTAGCATCTCATTAAATGAAAGATATAGTGTAATAAATTCATGTACATGATTTAAAGATACAGAAAGCTTTATATACGATATACGATCTATATACTGTTCTGTGATGAAAAAAATTAAGTACAACAATTAAGTCTTTCACATTCAAAATATCCAATGAATGATTATTGCAAGTATTCTCTTACAATACTCATGTTTTATAAATTATTCATCAGTATACATCTGTAACTCTACATTTTTATCATCTTAAAACATGTTTTTCAGAAAGATATCATTCCATGCTGCTGTACTTTAATGTTCTACTTAATTCTGATATGTATAATTTCTGTTATTATTATTCTAGATTATATTGTAAAATTCTTAAATGTAGGTCATCGAGAGTTATTAAGGGTATCTAAAACAAAAAAATAATAATAGAATCTATTTGTGTGTACATAAAATGTAATATATTTCATTGTTTAACAATGTTTCGCTTGCACGCTCCACATAATTGGCAGACTGCCGTTTTTTTACTCGCTGTTTATTTTAAGAATAAAAAGTTCCATGAAATTTGCCAACTACTGTTCTTTGTTATAATATTATGTTAACACCTAGCGAACTTATCGATTCAATATTATCCCAAGAGGAATAAATTGCCAAAATTGGTGAATTGAAAAATGCATTTCAAAATCTGTATAGTTCAGAATTTCTAAATTTATATAGTGTTATGATATGCAAGAATTAAGTATGTATTTTTTTTGTATATTTTGAAATATTGTAATTGTTAACAGTTAATATATATATATATATATATATGATTGTATTAAATAATATATTTATTTTAAGCTGTACATGTATGATTTTTTATTTTTATTAGGTCATCCCATAAGTTCGTGCCGTTTTTTGAACGGTTACATATGTAAAAGTCGGCACGAACTTATGGGATGACCTAATACATGTATTTAATTTTTTCATCAATATTAATATTAACTGATCTTCGATGTGCTTATTAAACTGTTGGTATATATTTAAAAAAAAGTTGAACAAATACTTATTTACATGGATATAAAATATTTTGTTTTGATTGTAAATTAAATTTGCCCGCCATGAAAGCATGTCAAAACTATAATCAAAGAAACTTCCATGTGGGTAATAAAAGCCGGTCTACCGCCAGATTCTGAAGTTATTTATGAAAGCGAAATCTTATAGAAAAAGTAATGATTCATTATGTACTAATGATATAATTTAAAAGAAATGTGTTTGATATGTAATTTATAAGGATTGTGTTACTTTTAGTTGCAACATTGACATAGATTTTTTTTTTATACGCAATATCATATAGAATGTAGAGTATTGGTTTTCGGCCTGTACGTTTTCAACAGTTTTCAGTTAATAAATTTGAGATAGACGGCGTTCAAATAAAGAAAAAAATAACAGTTGCTAAATAAATTGTATACAATTGTTTGTTATAACATTATATCGCGTTCAAACGATCAAACGAACAATTAGCTTTTATTAACGCAATATGAAACAGTTGCGTTATACGTAGAATACGGTAAAAAAAAGATTTTATTTATATGAATAGTTATAAGAACGAAATAAATAAAAAATAATACGACGAAAAGAAAGTATATATAAATAGATTGAAACTACTGTAATCGCATGATCTTCCGGTCGCATTATTTGATAAGTCTAAGGTGGCCCAGTTTCAATTAACGGTTAGAGTTGAATAAAAATACATTTACGGTGTTTAACAAAACAATTTGTGTTTCAGATCACAGATTCATTTATGTAATTACACAAAAATTGGTGCATCATATAAGAGGACATAAATTTTATAACGCAATGAACATACAAAAAAATCTAGAAGAAGTAATCATTTTTGTGACCCATGTTGAAGCAGAGGGTCCATTCCTCAAAATTTGGGGTCAGATTGACAAAAATTCTGCAACATGTGTGGAACGTATGATTTTACCTTTGGTCGAACAGTTTACCAGAAGTCAAGGTTGTATCGGACCTTTGGCAGCCAATTTACACATAAATGCACTTTGTTGTGCTAGATTTCAAAATGAGGGGTATTATCGAGCTAGAGTAATTAATATACAACCTGATGGTATGGTAGTTCTGCAATTCATTGACTATGGCAATATTGAAGTTCTACCACCTCAGGAGATTCATCTGCTTGATACTATACCTGGTTCTGAATCTTTGAAATCATTTCCACCTGTAGCATTTGATTTTGCATTGATGAATGTATTGCCGATAAATGATGTCTGGGAGAACAAGATAATTGAGTCAATTAAAAAGTCCCTATGGTATAATGAATATAAAATTTTGATTGGTTCTGTGGTTAACAATTACCGGTTTATTAAACTTTGGTACAATAATGAAGATTTCAGTGAATTACTGATTAAGAAACACATGGCAATAGGAGCTACATTGCATGACATGTTCAGGTATTTATTTTTATATTAATATATCGTTTTTATAAAATATTTTAAATTTCAAATATGTCTACATTATCTTTGTTTATTAAAATTTGTCCATATGTTATAGGCCAAAGTGTATACAACAACCTCCTCCTAGTAACTGCCCTACAATGACACCTATAGATAATATGAATCTATTGAGAAGTGATGGAAATGAAATGCATAGATATCAACCAAATGTTCCTTTATGTTGTGCAACTCTACAGAAACAAATGATGCAGGCACCTGTTCAAGAAGCTCTTGTTTTTAAATCTCGTGTTTTAGACGTTCCATCAAAACACGATGTATACGTATCTTTTGTAGAAGACGGTCCGCATAAGTTTTCTGTTCACCTTATTAGCACTTCTGAAATATTAAGGGTACTCATGAGAGAGATTAATGCTCATCCATTAAAACCATTACAAGAACCTCCTTTACCTGGGTCAGTATGCCTAGGTCGTTTCACACAAGATAAAGTGTTATGTAGAGCTGTTGTAATGTCTGTAACGGATAGCAAATGTAAACTTTATTACGTTGATTTTGGCCATACAGAATTGTTACCGTACACGGATATTTTCCAATTACCACCTCATTTTATTAATCCTAGAGTACTTTCTATACGATTTACGCTGAGTGGTGTTTACGAGTTAAATGCTACAGATGAAATGAAACAATACTTTAAAGACATAGTGTCAGGAAAACCACTGGTTTTACATGTACGTCCACCGGAAGGACCACCGTTGGTTCAATATGGAGATTTATATGATAATGAAAAGAATATAAAGGATATTCTTAGACAAGCATTTCCAACTCCAGGTACAATGACACCTGCAGCTGCTCTTACGTACCAAGAACCAAAAAAATTATTAAAGGGCACTGAAGAAGATGTGCTGGTTTCATTTGTAGAATCTTGCAAAAAGTTTTTTGTACAATTGCAAAACAACGTGAAATCTCTTGAATTAGTAATGAATCACCTGGCAGAATTTTGTAAAACTGCGCCAATTTTAAGCTTATCGCATCTAAATATTGGTCTTCCTTGTGCTGCTTTGTACGATAATCAATGGTATAGGGCACAAATCATTGGTATAAATCAAAATAGCATAAAGGTTTTATATGTTGACTATGGCAATGAAGAAACTGTACCTTTATCATCTCTTCGTTTCATCCGAGAAGATTTAGTTAAAAAATTATCAGCTCAAGCTATAAAATGTGTACTGAACGGCTGGGGACTTTTGCCATGTACTCAAGAACTATATGATCAGTTCGAATTAATGATTTTAGAGAAAAGTTTACGCTTAAGAGTAGTAGATGTAACTGCGAATGGCGTAGTAGTAGATTTATACGAACCCGAAACAATGGAGGATATTAAATCTCAAATGCTCCAACCCACTGAAGACGAGAAGAAAGTAATAAATCAACCGAATTATGAAACTATGGAAGAACAACAGCCCGTAAAAATCAGTCCAAAAATGAATCAAAGCGAAAGTACAAATAAATGGCATAAAAAAGATCAGTCAGATTCGTGGCGTCAGCCACCAAATAGAGACTTTGCTCAAGAAAAGAATAAATTTAAAACTTGGAAAGATGAATCGAATGAAGGAAAACTAAACGACGCTAGAAACGATAAAGGTAATTTTCATCGTAATGATACACGAAATGAAAGATTTAATAGGGACGACTTTTCTAATAATAGAAATACGAGAGATAAATGGAATAACAAAAACGAATATAACGATTCATTTAAGGGTGGAAGAAGTCCCAGAGGTGGTGGTAGAAACAAAACTTCAGGATATGGTGGATTTAAAAATCATTCCTCTTCAGATAAAAGTTGGAGCGATAAAGATTCAGATACATCATCTAAAGGAAGTAGCAGACGGGGAAGGAATGGTTCTACTCGTGGTTATTCCAAACGCGAAGGATTCTCTGGAAGAATTCAAAGAGACAAATACAGTGACAAAGAAAATGATAGAAGTTTCAGAGGTGGAAAGACGAATAGCGACTTCTCGCGTGGAAATGATAGATTCAGGGATAAGAAAGGACAAGGATACAGATTATCACAAAACAAGTTAAACGCTGTAAACTCTTTTTCTGATGGGGAACCACGAAGATATAGTCCAATGAGAAATAGAAACGAAGTTCGTATACCATCTCCTAATATAGATATTGGATCTACAAAAACTTGTGAAGTAGTCTTTACAACTAGCCTCTCTGACTTCTTTATTCAGTTAAGTCCTGATTATACTGCTTTAGACTCTGTAATGGAAAATATCGCATCAATATACGAGGAAGGTGGAGAATTACTTAAAGAATCTGAAATATTATCTGGGGTGTACTGCATTGCTCAATATTCGGTAGACTTAAAATGGTACAGAGCACTGATTAAATCTGTTGAAGGGAACAGTGCAACTGTACAGTTTGTAGATTATGGAAACATAGAAACAGTTGAATTTGACAAAATCAAAGTTATTCAGGAAGAATTTTTAAAACTTCCAGCACAAGCTGTGCATTGTAAATTACTTGGTCTAAAAGATGATGCTCTTGACAACAGCAGAGTAAAAGATTTCGAAGATAAAGTTACTGAGAAAACGTTAGAAGCGGAATTTATAATCGAAGAAAATGGTAGATACTGTGTTTTATTACGAGAAGTTATCGAAGGCTGGCCGACCAATACTTTTATAAATGAAGAATTCTGTAAAAATATTGATTTACAAAAAGCAAAGGAAGATGCACTATTTAGTAGAAAAACTTCTCCTACTACAAAACAATTCAATTTACCTGATTATGCGTCTTCGGATGCTAAATGGACAACGATTTCGGATATACTTGGAACTACGAAAGATGCGATTATCACATGGTTTACTAATCCTAATAATTTTTATTGTCAGGTACTTGATAATGAAACTGAATTTAGAACTATGATGAATGAAATTCAAAAAATATACGTTGGAAGAGAACCTGTTCCATCTTACACATTACAGGTAATAGATCAATATGAACTATGTTGAAATTTTACTGTTTCAAGTTAATTATAAAACAATTATTATTTTCAGATTGGTTCATCAGTGATAGCAATATTTTCCGAAGATGGAGCTCTTTATCGTGCAGAAATTCTTGAATTAAATAAATTAAATGGTCATCTTGTTCAGTACATAGATTTCGGAAACAGTGCTGTAGTTAATACCAACAAAATTTATCCAGTAGAAAAGAAATTAATGCATCTTCCTAAACAAGCTGTTCACTGTTCTTTGTTAAATATTGTTCCAAAAGATAATCAGGGCTGGTTAAAAATAAATACAGCAGCAATTGATAACTGTTTTAATGCTGACAGATTTGAGTGCGTTTTTCATGATCTAAAGGATGATAAATATTTAATATCGTTATCGAATAATGGAAATGATGTTGCTGCAACATTAGTTGAAAAAGATCTTGCAACATTTGCATCTGAGAGTAAATCAGATGCCGCTGTTGAAGGTACAGTACTTCTCGAAATTCTTAAAAATTTAGTAAATCAAGTGATTTCATATTATTATTTTATTTACAGGTAGCGATACCACAACATCCGCAGTTTCACCTAATGTAGAGAGAGTAGATATAAATCTTCTAAGTGGTCAAGTACTGAGAGTTAAGGTTTCAAGTGTTGAAAATGCATCAAAGTTTTATGTTCAGTTACCTTCAGCTTCTGAATGTGAAACCAGAATCAACTCCTATATGGCTAACAAAGATCCTGAGGTATGTTTTATGTGTTCATATCAAATTATATTATTTTTGTAACCATAATACAAAGAATACGGACTTAAGTTACATATTTAATCAAGATTGTGGTATGATACTAGTGCTACAGCTAGTATTATCATCCGTTTTTCGTTCCTTTATATATTTTTGATGTTACTATGAATAGTAAAAAATTACGTTAACATACTAATTCTTCAACTAACTAAAATAAGTATAAAAAATTTTATGCCGTTTATGCAATGGTATTTCACTAATTTTCATTATTTTAATCATAATATTTCTTACATTCCATTGCACGATGTATGGTATTAATAACTAAATCGGTAAACTGTATTGTCCCTATGCTGTGCTATTCTCAATCACTAAGTTGTTTTACATACTTGATATGTTATACATTAATTATAGAAAATACCCCTGCCATTTTGTATCGTTATTTAACAATCTCTAAATTGTATATGTATATTTGATAAAGTAATTAATTAGGTAAGTCCTTGTGTTTTGTACACTGCTCCGTTTTGTAAATTCCTGTATTATTTGTTTTTGTTATTTTAATATATTTGGTATTTTTCAGTTAGAATTCAATTTAGTTCAGTAAATAGGACTAAAATCTATTTTGAAAATATATATAGTATTGTGTATGTTTAAAAACTTTTTAATTTGCATATTTTACTCTTGTGATTTGAAAACTAATATTTTTATTATTTCATATATCTTTGTATTTTTACTTATACTCCATTTACAATTTGTTCTGTTTCAAATAAATATTTTTAACATTGCATGCTTTAAATAGTTTATTGTTATGTATCAAATAATTTTTGAAATTGACGACCTTTTAATACTAATTAAAATAAGATTGTTATCATTATTAATTTATTTTCATCTACATTTTAAAAATGTTAATTCATCCAATATTTTACAAACATGATAGTTCAGAGCTTACTTATTTATTAATCTTATTATCCATTATGTACTTCGAAATTTAATTCAAAAATGCAGGATAACATAAAACTAACGTTATTGTAAACTATTTCAAAATTAAAGTCTCTTGTATATGGTTATATAAAATGATTTCTGCGAATAATGTCGGTAAGGAATAAGTATGGTAATGGCAGGTGATGCAACGATTAGCAGCCCATGAGATATGCCTGGGCACAGGTTGTTTGATTTATTCAAATGGAGTTTGGAGGCGAGCGGTAATCAATAACCATTCACGAACTGCAGGCTTTGATGTAAAATTCATTGATACTGGAGCATGTGATGAAATTCTCTCGGATAGTGTGAGTTTTTTTTTAAAAGAAAACGAGATCAATCTACATGCTAGATTCACTTTACCTACAGATAATATAACATTATTGCTAGGAGTAGGAGTTACTTAATACCATACTTACTGCATTGAAGAATGTTTAGTAGAATTAAATGTATTAAAAGTTATATTTCAGGCTATTAATATTCAGACTACAAATCCATAAATTAATCATTTTATTGCTTTATTTTTTATTATCAAGCAAAGCATTTAACTTAAGTATTTAAAATATTTATTAATAAGATTCTTATATTCTCTGCTTCAAATTTTATTTTTAATATGAATATTCAATTACTAACATTTTTTATTAATTTAGGTGCTAGCCTTACCAGGAGAACTTTCAGTTATGCAAAATCAGGCAATTGAATGCTCTCTTGCAGATGTTGTATCTTCTTCCGAAACAGATAATGCATTGAAAAAACATGCTGAAGGGAAAGAAGTAATAATATGTGTTAATGAGGTTGACAATAATAGGTAAATACAATATTAATCATCGACGTTGTTTAAGAACAAAACAATGAATAGTTTTAATATACGTTCTTATATCTTTTCAGACTCATTGTAAAAGTCTTTGACTTATTTGGTAACAAAATAAAGGTCTCTGAAGATTCTGACGAGAAAATATCTCCAATATGTCCGATGCCTATTTTAAGTTCTACTCATAAAGTATCAGTATCATACGCAGATCATTCTGCTAGTATATGGCTTCAGCGTAACGCAGAATACATTTTGGATACAAATTTAAGCGAGGCGCTTGATCAGCATTATTCTACTTCCGGAAAATTAATAGAACCAACAGTAGGTCTTGTATGTGCTGCTAAAAGTGTGGATGGTCATTGGTATCGTGCTAAAGTTATAAAATGTACCGAAAATGGAGTTTACGTGAATTTCATTGATTATGGTAATAACGAAGAAGTGACCTCTGATGTAGTGACGGCTTTAGAGCCATGTTTCTATATACCACATCAATTAGCTATCAATGTATCATTACCGGTAACTCTTAATTGTCCAATACCTGAGCAATTAAGCGTACTACAAAATTATTTATCAAATAAAGAACTTACTGCTGTTTTCCGTAATACAAACAATAAATGGGTCGTAGAATTATTAGATGATGGAGAAAAAATCAGTGACAAATTCCGCTCGCTCAATGCAGAAGAATTGTCTAGTACAGGAAAACCATACATTCATAATATGACTGTAGGTTCTACCTACAATGTATACGTATCTCATACAGATTCTCCTAGTCAATTCTGGCTTCAACATGTGGACGATGCTACTGAACTTTCGACCAAACAAGAAGAGCTTCAAGAACAAGCTCCCACGTTCCCAGCTGTAGAGGGAATACTAGAAGAAGGAAGTCTATGTGTTGCTGTGTACACCATAGACAACTTATGGTACAGAGCACAAGTACTCGATGCTGACGAAGATATCACAACTGTTCGTTTCATTGATTATGGAAACACAGATATTATCGACAATAAGTCTGTGAACATTCGACAGATACCAGACTCGTGGAAAGAGATAAAGGAATATTCAGTTAAATGCAGATTAGATGTTATTCCTGTAGATTCGGAGGATTGGAATGTTACAACTTGTGAGAAATTTGAAAATTTAGTAACATCCGTTGAATCTTTGCAAGCATCGATAATAGCAAATAGTATTCCAAAACGAGTAGATTTATTGATAAATGGTAAAAGTATTAGTGAAACGTTGGTCGAAGAACATCAGGCTGTAAAGATTCACAGAGAAGAAGAACTGATTGACGAGATAGTTGATCTTGAATTGGATCCCCATTCTGCTTTCGTAAGTCACGTTAATTCTCCAAGTGAGTTCTGGGTTCAAGAAGAAAAGTCTGTAGGTGATTTAGAAGTTATGACTGACAGATTTATCGTAGCGCATATGTTTCCCAAAGTCGAAGAGATTAAAGAAAATTTATTATGCGTTGCAAAGTATCCTGAAGATGGTTATTGGTATAGGGCACGCGTTGTATCACACAGTGATAATGCCACACGAGTTATATATATCGATTACGGAAATTCTGCTACCTCGACTGAAATATGCGCCATACCTGAAGACCTTGCGATTATACCTCCATTGTCAAGAAAATGTAGCTTAGTTATGCCAGAAGGAATTACGGAATGGTCACAGAGAGCTTGCGAAGAGTTTACAAAATTGGCTGCTGATGGGGCAACTATATTTTTATTAGACGTTCTAAAAGAAGATGAAACATCGTTAGTGAAGTTAACATTGAATGGTGAAAACGTAACCGATATACTTGCAAACTTCTGCGAACGTTTCCCACCGATAATAGAGGAACGATTACCTCCTTTGGGCGAAGAAAATTCACCGAATGTATTTGTAACTCGCGTTAATTCACCGGATGATTTCTGGATTCAAACTGAAAGTAGCACCGCAGATTTAAACACGATGACAGACAGACTGCAGGCAGCTCCTAGTTTCCTTCCTCTAAACACGTTTGAGACTGGTACCATTTGTGCTGCAAAGTATTCTGAAGATGAACAATGGTATAGAGCTAAGATCCTTTCTCATTCTGAAAATGGTACTGAAGTTTTATTCATAGATTATGGCAATGTAGAGGTTACAAATGAAACACGAGTGCTGCCTGTAGATATTATAAATATTCCTCCTTTAGCCAAACACTGTGCTATGCAAAAACCGAATTCAATAAGTGAATGGTCTCAAGAAATGCGCAAAACGTTCGAAGAACTGGCTGCGGATGGAGAAACGACGTTTCAGTTTGAGATTCTTGATGACACTAATGATCCAATGCATGTGAAACTTAGTCTTGAAGGAACAAATGTTGTTGATATTATAACAACATACACTGAAGATGAATCTTCAGATGTAGTTATCGCAAAGGAAGATTCAGTTAAAGATGAAAACATTAATAAAACAGCAGATGAAGAAACACATGAACCTGTAGAAAATGATGAAGCTCGGGAACAAGAAACAGAAGAAAATGTAAATAATGAATGCTCGAACATGAACTCTTCAGTGGAGCTTACCATTGATGAAATAGTTCAGAGTATGAAACCGGACGAACTAGAAGAAGAGGAAACCATCGAAAGTAATAATATTAATTTAGAAACCAATGAGAATGATGTTGTTAAAAAAGTAACAACAGATTTAGAAGAACAAATTGAAATACAATCATCTATTGATGTAAATCAAACGCAAAAAACAGAAATTGATACTGAAGCCAGTAAGAACGATCTTGAAACACAAAATGTGAATGAAAAAGAAGTTGCATTAAACGTAATAGAAGTCACAAAATCAGATTCAGTCTCGACTTTGGTAAGCACCACAACTGATTTGCAAAATCCTGAAGAAGAACAAACTAATATATCTGGTTCAAAAATAGAAAGTATCGATAATGTTAGAGACACGACAGAATTAGAATCACCAAATAAGGAATCTGTGACAACTGATGAAATAGAAGAAATATGTGAATTACAGAAAGACGTGCAAAGTAGTAATCTGAATGAAGAAAACACAGTCGAAGTAGAGTCAACTAGTGAGCAATCTGCTGTAACAACTGATAAAATAGAAGAAATATGTGAGTTAAAGAAAGACGTACAAAGTAGTAATTTGAATGAAGAAAACACAGCAGAATTAGAATCACCAAATAAGGAATCTGTAACAACTGATAAAATAGAAGAAATATGCGAATTAAAGAAAGACAAACAAGATAGTAATCTGAATGAAGAAAACATAATTGAAGTAGAGTCAACTAATGAACAATATGTTACAACTGATAAAAAAGACGAAATACGCGAATTAAAGAAAGACGTAGAAAGTAGTAATCTGAATGAAGAAAACACACTTGAAGTAGAGTCAACTAGTGAGCAATCTTTAACAACTGATAAAAAAGAAGAAATATGTGAATTAAAGAAAGACGTACAAAGTAGTAATTTGAATAAAGAAAGCACAGCAGAATTAGAATCGCCAAAAAAGGAATCTGTAACAACAGATAAAAAAGAAGAAATATGTGAATTAAACAAAGGTATACAAAATAATAATGAAGAAAACACAGCAAAATTAGAATCAACCAGTGAACAACATGTAACAAATGATAATAAGGAAGAAACTTGTGAGTTGAAGACAAACACACAAAGTAACAATGAAGAAAACACAGAATTAAAGGCAGCTAATGAACAGTCTGTAACAAATGATAAAAAAGAAGAAATATGCGAATTAAAGAAAGACATACAAAGTAGTAATTTTAATGAAGAAAGCATAGCAGAATTAGAATCACCAAAAAAGGAATCTGTAACAACCGACAAAAAAGAAGAAATATGTGAATCAAAGAAAGACGAACGAAGTAATAATCTGAATGAAGAAAGCTCAGCAAAATTAGAATCAACCAGTGAACATCATGTAACAAATGATAATAAGGAAGAAACTTGTGGATTGAAGACAGATATACAAAGTAATAATGAAGAAAACTCAGAATTAAAGACAGCCAATGAGCAGTCTGTAACAAGTGATACCTGCACAGAAGTTTCGCAAATAGAAGTCGTTAATGGGGATGAAATTAATAATGAAGAAAAAAAAAGTGATAGTGAAAACTGTAAGCTACAAGATGAAAATAAAGATAATGTTAGTACAACGGGCCCTAAAGATTGTTCTGAGATAAAGGCAGATAAAGTGGATAAAAAGGAATGTTTAGATGTACAGTTTGTAGAAATAGCAAACAACGAATGTAGTAAGATTATTGACACACCAAAAACGATTTCATTAAGTGACTTGTCAGTTTCTACGAATGTTGAAAAGAAAAAAGATAATGAAAATTCTTTGCCCTCGGAAGGTACTTCAGATTCTTGTAAATGATTGTATACAAAGACTAATCACGTATTTGAAAATAATTTTTTAAAAAACACTTAATCCTTTTCTGAATGAATATTATTTAATTTTGCAAAGAGATCTGTGTTTTATTTAATATAGTTTGATTATATGAACAATATCTTGCTTGAAAAATATAAAATGCGCAGATAAGAAATATTATCGTGCTTTGTTCGAAGAAGAAATTTTCAGTAAAAGACAACATTCCTAAATATATATTGCGGCTTTAAATGTAAAGAAATTGGAGTATAAAACATTATTTTTATTTCTTTTATATTTTTTCACGTAATTAGTAAACATCATTTTTATTATTATTTTATTTTGTATATTATTATTACGCAAACTTCGTTTTATAGTAACATAAAAGCATAAAAATAATAATGAAATATTTTCTGGTGCTTTGCCAAAGAGTAATAAAGGTCATATTTGTGGTACATATAATAATAAAGGACTATACTTCAGTTTCGATATAATTTTAGTATAGGATAAACAAAGACAGAGACAATTTCAGAAATTAAATATCTGAACATAAATTTGATATAATGTATGAAAGTTACATGAATTTGTTTTTACTTAACGTGATTAAAAATTTTAATTTGTATTATTTATTCATTCAAAGACTATTATTATAAAATTAGTTATTTCCTTAAAACATTTTAATCCATTAATAATTATACAAACTTAATATTTGCCTATGGATAAAATAACTAATTGCTGTTTAACAGTAAACTAAGTACATGTAATTTATAATGAGTTTATTAAATAAGAAATTAAGGTACTCGATAAAATCAATATGAAAAGTTATAGAGTACATAATATAGATATATTACTAATATTATTCAGGTACTATCTATGAAGTTCGTAAAACATTTTATATTTAAACAAATATTTCATAAGATTATATCAAGTTTATGAAACAAATAAGATTAAAGATGTTTATTTTCTTTGTCGGTCTATTTATTTTTTTAAACAACCGTACTATGATGTTATCTTTTTTTATAAACATAAACCATTAAAAAAAAAACTAAAATTATATTTTATTATTAATTATTACATAAATGAGTTGATAATAGTTTGATTTTCAGAATTGGTTTAGTTTATACTGGAATTAATACTATTATATGTTTAACGAATTTTTATAATATTTTATTAATTATATGTTCATATACGCCTCTATAATAAAAGGAAACGTTTATTTTTTTTTCATTTCTGAAATTACAAAATTAAAATGCCCCCAATAGTGATATTGTTAACTGATGCGATATTTCTTTCATGAACCTTTATTGCAATAATGTGATAAGATTCCCGAATACCCTCTAATTGTACTCACAGTATTGCGTTCTTTAACATGAGATTATGTAACATTTCTATTATAATAAAGTATATTTTCTAATACGAGTGGAAATGTTTCATCTTTAGTACAGTAATAATAAGAGTGAAGAAAAGTATTTAAATTTTGATGAGAAATTACTTTGTTTCTATGTTTTATCTTCACTTTCTTGCTTATGTTCTTTATCTTCGCTTGATTGTTGTCTCCTTCTCTTCTTGTGTCCGTACTTATTCTTTTCTGCTTAGTGAAAAATTCATATTTTAAACTTAAATTGTCTATAAAAAGTAATATTGTATTATATACCTTTTCTTTTAGCTGTTTGTACATTTCTGTTCATGTCAGTATTATATTTTTCTATTCTTTTCTTTACCATACTCTCACGAGCTACAGCTATTTCATCTTCCAGATACCATCGCAGAGGACCTCCACATCGTTCACATACCAATCGATCGTTCAAAGGTCCAAGAGCACCACCCCTTGAAGTACCAGCGTGATTATCATTTCCTCCGCGTAATCTATTTTGATATCCACCTCGTAGTCCATTTGTATATACACTTCGTCGTCTACCCGCATTTCTACCTCGTCCACCTTTTTGAAATCCTTTTTGACCGCCGCGTAGTCCGGAAGATGAAAGTTCGTCTTCGTTAATGCGAAATTTAATATCAGGTCCTTCGTTGGTTGTGCCGCGTGAGAGAAAAGGTAGTATCGAAACTTTGTGTTTCGAAAACCCTGGATTATCCTTGACGTCACAACAGAATCCATAAGGTTTTAATAAAAGGTTTTGTTTCGATGTGGCAACATGATGTTTCCTCGATGTTCCACCTTTTTTCATCTTGCCAAAAATTGTACTACTGATAATTTTGATTTAAGCCAGAAAATTAACGAAAAAGAATTATGAAAGCATTTTAGGATTTTGTAGGATGTTAGATTTTGAGTTTTGTAGTTTAGAGTTTTGTAAAGGATGATAGGTTTGGAAAGTTTGAAACGACTATCTGCAAGAATCATTTATTATTTTTGTTTGTTGTATCAATACAAATGAAAATGTCTTCATTTTGACTATACTTTAATTTCATTAGTTTATCTTCTCGTAATTAAAAGTCAAAGATACAGGAAGACGAATACAATCTTCCCGCTATGGTGACGTAGGCGCGTTAATTTTTATTGGTCAGCTCTTACAGCACGTGTATTTTATTATGCGACGTTTTACATAAATTGATGTCAAAACATTAAGAAAGATGTGTTTGAAGATCATCGATCATCCCGATTAAAATTATGAATTCTTCTACTTTGTCGTCTGGAACTTTGGGCCACTCGCCAGGGCAACGAGCCTCAGAACCTGAGGATTCCGAATTAACCTCTAGTGGAAATCAAACTTCAAAAATCTTGAATCAAATGAAATCAGAATTACAGGAGCAAAAGCAACAAAAACGATTACTTCGGGAGCTGCATTTAAAACGTGTTCAATCATTGCGAAAGGAATTGGATTACATCAAAGCAACTGAGTGGAGATATCAATCAATCGACCGGTACATCCTAATTATCATACTTTTTAATTTAAAAATATTTCTTACTCGTAATATTAACTCAAATTAATTAAATGTTTTTAGGTATATGGATAGAAATAATAGAAATTAAACATGTTTTCACTTATATATAATGTTATTAAGTATACTATGGGATATAAGTCGGCTAATACAAGCGATACAGACGAAATAAATAATGTTATAGCTCGTATCGAAAGCGCTCATAAAGAAGAAATACAGAAAGATGAATATCTTAGTAATCATGATTACTGCTATAAAACGGGAAATATTACTTATATTTCCAAAGACTATGTGGTAGTTGATCATTCTCATATGTGCGATAGAGCAAACATCTCAGTGAATAATTTAAAAGTAGGTGATACAGTTCAGTGTTTGGTATCTCAAAATAATCATGAGAATGAATACAAAATACAGCAAATTATTTCTATGACAGATGATTCTTGGGATGATGTAGTCACAGATCCCCAAAGAAATATTGTAGAACCAAAAACCTTAATCAAATGCATAGTTGGAAAAGTAATTGACCGTAAGAATCGTTTGATAATTGTAGAACCTAAAAATATTTCTGTTGATTTAAATAAGGTACAATCTGAATTTATTCCTGTGATTGGAGACTGGTTGAAACTGGATGCAGAAGTAGAGATTAATGAAAATTCTGATGATCTAAATGATATAATATTAAAAATCCAAAAAATACAACCTCTGAGATCTAAGTTAGATCATGGAACTGTATCTAGTTATGATTCAATTAAAGAAATTGGTTCCATTGGCAAAGATATTGTCTTTAACAAAAGAATATGCGAATCTGGTTACATTCCTTGTGTTGGTGATAAAGTAATTAGTGACAGTATTGAAAGTGACCAAGGAATTTATACATGGAGATCATTAGTTGTGGTTCCACTATTTCAGGTAAATTTTGATTTAGACGGGGATAAGTATTTTAAACAATCAACTAATAAAAGGTATTTGCAGGTTCCTGGAAAAGAAACCAAGTTACCAATACTATGCAATACTTTCAGAACTAACAGAAATTTAGATGAACTTATGAAAGACAAATGTGGTATAGTTATCAGTAATAATTTAAATATTGAATTAGATGTATTGGAGGAACAAACCTTAATAGTTACAGTACAAAATGTAGGTAATACTACTCATGTATTACGTAAAGGTTGTTTCATGTCAAAAAGAAATCAGTCTCAACTAGCTTTAATGCAACCACCTACACTTAATACAGTTTCAGTATTAAATCCTTCTGACGAATTAACTTACATATTTAAATGTGCAGCAAAATTTATTGGTACAAGTGAAGAATTATTTATCTTTAATTTTAAAGACTTTGAAATTGGAAGAGTTTTTCGTATAAATGTTCGACCTAAAAATGTACAAAGCAAAACATGCGTGAAAAGTGATAATATTAAAGCTAATAAATCTGGGCAGATATTAGATCTGGATGAATGGAGTCAAATGACCTACATTCCAGGTATTCGTCCATGTAAACCACCTGCATTTATTAAAGTACGAAATGTGATATTCAAAGTTCCTCGACATTACTGGAATGTAATATCAAAATGTATAGATGAAAGGAAATCACAAACTGAATGTGAATATGATATAGGAAACGCTATACCTTGTTTACTAAACAGGCTCAGTTTTGAGGTTTATAAAGATCGTTTTCACGCGTTACTATATTTAGAAGAAATTGCTCAAACAATAAGTATGCAGCAATATAATCTGGAAAGTACAGTTATGAGACGTGCCGGGGACTATTTAGTTATGGAAGTACCAGGACTTGCAGAGAAACGTCCATCCTTAATTATTGGCGATAGAGCTATAGTATCTTTTAAATGGGATAATACTCAAGGTATGTTGTTAAACATGTATGGATCAATAAGTTTTAACTAATGAGTCAGAGTTTTAATGTTTAATATTTAAAACAGGCCAATTAAAATATGAAGGGTTTATCCATAGAATTACAAATACGGACATTTTTTTGAAATTCAACTACAAATTTCATCAAGATTATAATTACGAAGACTGTCAAGTGACATTTAAATGCTCAAATTCTGCCGTGCAACGTTGTCATAATGCAATTAATATGGCTGTACATCGCCTCGGTTCCAACTTTTTGTTTCCTACATATGTAATTGAGAAAGAATCTCAGGTAGATCTCGAAGAGTTTGAAACAAACGACAAGCCAGTTTCTAAACAACTGGGTCATCAGCGAAATGATTCTGTGTCATCAGAATCTTCTACTAGCAGTACACCTACAAGTAATAAATCAAGTAATACGTCAAGATCATCGACAAAAATATCCGTCGTACAAAGATTATTTAATGTTAAACCAATTCAAGAAAATAAAGAATGTGAAACAAGCTCTATTACGTTAACAAAAAACAATCAAGACGTTGAAACACACAAAAAAACAGACGTTGATAAAAATTTATTAGACAAAACATTATCAAGAAATTCAAGAGAAACATCAGTCTCTTCTTACAACACTGAATTACAACCGTACATTACACAAATAAAAAAACGAAAGTTAATTTGGTTCAATCAAAATCTCAATTATTACCAGAAGGAAGCTGTAAAAAACATATTAAAAGGACACGCACGGCCACTACCTTATGTGATATTCGGACCACCCGGTACAGGAAAAACTATTACTTTGTGTGAAACAATTCTGCAAATTTTATCAACTATACCTGAAAGTCGACTATTAATTGCAACACCATCTAATAGTTCAGCAAATCTTATAGCAGAACGGCTTCTGGATAGTGGTGTTCTTAAACCTGGTGATATGGTATATACTATTTTATTTTTATTTGATTAATAATGGAAATATGTTTTAAAATTTAGATATTTTTTAACAGGTACGGCTTATAGCACATCATTACTTAAGTAGTGATTCTATATCTGGTAAGTTATTACCGTATTGTGCCACTGCAGAAATAGCAGATGAAAAGTCAGTTGCAAAAACAAGATATAATGGAGAAGGTCCAAAGTTAAATTGCACTATGAGTATAATTGGTCGTCACAGAATTACTGTTGGTACCTGTATTGCTTTGGGAATATTGAACAACATGGGTTTCCCGCGTGGACACTTTTCACATGTACTGATCGATGAAGCTGGTCAAGCAACAGAGCCAGAAATTATGATTCCACTAAATTTTATTCATTTTGATTATGGACAAGTCATTCTTGCGGGTGATCCATTACAACTTGGTCCAGTTGTACAGAGTAGATTAGCAAAGAATTTTGGTTTAGACGAGTCGTTTTTAACGAGATTGTTACGTCACTTCCCTTACCAAAAAGATCCTAATGGTTTTGAATCACAATATGATCCAAGGCTGGTCACAAAGCTTGTTATAAATTATCGAAGTTTACCGGAAATACTTGAATTATCAAGTTCGCTATTCTATGATTCTGAATTAATAGCACAGGTACAAATATTTATTTAAACAAATTACATTTATTAAGTTTATATGTGAGATAATTAATGAAAAAATATTTGTAGATATCGCCAAAGAAAAGCAAAGAAGCAAAACTTTTACAAACATTAGCTAGTGAATTACCAGAAAGAAATGGTGCGCCACCAGCTATAATCTTTCATGGTGTAAATGGAGAAAACTGTAAAGACAGTGATAGTCCAAGTTGGTATAATCCGGAAGAAGCAACGCAAGCATATCTTTACTTACTGAAGTTATATAAATGTGGTCTTTCCCCCGATGATCTGGGAATTATAACTCCTTATCAAAAACAGGTAAAATTATTAAATATAATTGATGAAAAAGTAATTATTAAATATCTTTACACCCTATTTTAATGATTTTTTCATGTAGGTTTATCAAATTCGTGAATTACTTATGGAATTAAACGTGGATTTACCAAAAATTAGCAGCGTCGAAGGATTTCAAGGCCAAGAACGTAACGTTATCATTATTTCAGCTGTACGATCTTCAAGTAATTTTATAAACGAAGATATCAAACACTCCCTTGGATTTGTGGCTTGTCCTCGAAGACTCAATGTCGCAATTACTCGTGCTCGTGCTTTGGTAATAATTTTAGGTAATCCTTACCTTTTAGCCCAAGATCCATACTGGCGAAGCGTTTTAATATATTGCATTAATCGAAATTCTTATACCGGATGTACCTTTACCTTATCTGATATAGACGACGCACAGACAGAAATAAGTACTGATACTACTGACAAAATGAATAATTTATAATGATTTGTGACAGTAGTACATGGGTTTTTTATTTATCAAGATATCTGTTATTAAATTATAAAATTACATTTTTTGTCTAATATACAGTACTTGATATCCGTACATATATTACAGAAAATGATACATTTTATTTTGTTGATTGAATACTTTTTAAAACAGAATATTTATTTAGAATATTCCAAATTTTGTACAGGGGCTGCAGAATAATACACTTTAAACAGAAGTATTCTAAATTATATTTCTTTTCTGCATATTTTCAGTAATAAAACGCGAAAATACATTTGATGAAAAAGTACATTTTGTACGTTGTAACGTATGCATGTATGTATACCGCAGTTCACCAGAGTCCATAACTGGGAAAAGACCAGTTTTCGTTCTTCGCGCTTCTCCAGTGCGCATCTTCGCCCTGATTGGCGATACTTCCAAACGAAGTGGAAAGCGATTAGCAGAGAGCTCGCTGCGTTCCCCCACCATCTTCCAACCTGCGCGTCGCAGTTATGGACTCTGGTGAACTGCGGTATATGTATGTATATGTGTAGTGTTTATAATAATGTATATTTTTATTCATTCGATTTGAATTTCACAAAGCTGTATGAATAAAAATATATTTATCCTATTATATACCGCAAATTTTTTAAATATATAAAACTGAATTGTCTCAGTGTTAGGTATCATGTGTACATTATATCGCAATGTCACAAATCCAGATTCCAAGAAGTTTGATACTGTAAAAAAAAATATTTTTTACTATAATTTGTACGACATCAGAAATTAAGTCATGTTTGAAATAAAAAGATTTTTATGTTTCGGATCTATGCCCGTAGTTTGGTAAATGGATAATAACTTCAATATAATTCTTTTCTTATTTTCATGGTGACAGCATTGTTAAAAATGCAATCGTGTAATAATTCAGAAAGTTTCATAAAAATGTATGAAAAATGATTGTGAATGATACTGACCTCGATTAGTTCCATACTATACTAACAGGATCCTGGTTTTTAGCTTTTAATTTGCGTTCAATTAAGTTTTCTAATGCTTCACTTCGTACACTTAAAGTTTCAATTTTTTCAACCAGTTGTTGATACGGTGAAGCAGGTTGACCGCCCATAACAACATGCCCCAATTTACTGTCTATTTTGGCATCTAATCGTGCATTACGAATTAAATTAACGATCCAACATTCGGCTACATCTGCTTTCATGTTAAGTTTTTCTGCAAGCATTCTGTAACATAAAGAAACGTTTTAAGATTTTAAAGAACATGGTATTTATTTAACTGTAAAATTAAAAGTAAAATTGCTATACCCGATGCTTATACACTGATGGATTCTGCAAAATGTCTCGAAGATCATTAAACGAGCATTCTCTACAAATTCACTTAGTAATGCAATCAAGAAGAAATCATTAAATACGACCGTTTGACATTCCTGTAACTTTTGTCTTGCTCCATCAAAATCAAAATTGACATATAAATGCTCTAGAAATTCGGTAATCGGGTCACGATATGTATAAGATTCCTGTTGTATTACTTTTACAAGATCCTTTAGTATAGATCGTCTGGAACGATTAACGATAACAGCTGCGGCTAGATATCGCAATATATGTGGGCACATTGTTTGAATAGCATTTAAATAACTGCAATAGTAATACATAATTAGTTTCCTTCAGTTATAGTATTTAAAATACTGTATAATAATTATTATAATAATAGCAACGTACTGTGGTCGGTAAAGGAACATTTCGATAATTAAATCTCTACCCTTCACGTGATTGAAAAATACAAATAAACTCCAATGAATAAGCCATGTTCTTTGTTGTAATACCTGAAGAGAGTTTCCTATAACATTGCTATCAATGTACTCTCTTAATTTGTTTACATCTTCTAATGCAGTTTCCCAGTTTTGTACTAAGATTTCTGATGCCAATTTGCCCCAAAGTACATTTAAATAATTCTAAAAATAGCACAGCTTTCTATTATAAGAGCAACGTATTAAAATCTTACAAATTATTTATAGTAAATTCATACCTTATCTGTTGGTGACATTATAAGCATATAAAAGTATAAATATGATGTGGAAACAGAATAATTTCCACACTCATACCGATATTTTGCTAGTTTGACAAAACTGTCCATCATTTCAACCCTAAACTGTAAACATCAATACAAAATTGAAGTTATTTAATATTATCCAAACATACCTACATACAATGTTACATAAAGTAATATTTTAATTACATGTTGTTCATGTATTATTTAAAGATGTTACACTTACATCAGATTCCTGGGTAAGGTAATTATTTAATGCTTTAGAATCTCTCATATTCTCCATTTTCTTCATAACTTCTTCATTATTCATAAGTGCAACAACAACTGATACATTATTTTGTAAATAACCAAGCTCTTGAAGAACATCTGCACGGCGTGCTTTCAACTCCTACAAGTAACATTATCAATCATACTTGTCATTTATTATCATAAACATTTGTTCATACCTCTGGTACTTCTAAATTAGGATAAAGCTGTTTCCTGATGTCAATAGTATAATCTATCATATTGGTTTTGCTAAGAATATCCAGTTTAGCTTGAAGTAATTCATCCTCATCATAAATCTGAAAAGTGTAATATATATTATTATACGTTTATCATAATACGTATTATAATATGGTACAATTATACGTTTTGGTTATAATCGAAACGTATACAGCAAAAGTATTCTGTTTCCTGATATACCTGTTTTGCAGATAAGAATTCCAAAAGAGGAAAGACTAAATGCCGATCAAGATATTGTCCTATACGTGACGTTAGATCAAATTTTGCCATTTTGCTGTTGATAAAAGATCAAACAAATTCAATTCTAACCACACTTGGTAAGCAAAAGAGCGAGCACGCTTTACAACCAGTGACTGTGGATATAAAAAGACCGTACATGCCTTTATTCTTGAGAAATCATGATTTTGGGGGTCTCAGACGTCAACAAGGTAAAACAGACCACAAATTACTTCCTTGTTTTTTCTGTAGGGCGCAGTTCGTTCGTTTTCTGCGTTCGACCACGCGCTCATTCGTAGCTCGTATATCTGAATATGTCCAAAAAAAATAATAATAGGAACAAAAAATAATGATAGTACATCTAATTGTTTAACAAATTTAACTTCAATTACTTTGGAAAATAAATCATTTTAGAAAAGCAATAAATTAATTAAAGAATCGAAGAGTATTTGTAACTGTTATTATTGTATAACGTTCAATAACTATTTGATAAAAATCAAATTTATATTAAAACACAATAATCACTTCTTAATATTGTATAAAAATTAAATAATTCAAACAAATTTATTGGATATCCGTGTATAAAAGTTATAAAAATAATAAATTTCAATAGATATAACAATAATTTAATTAACAAACAATTGTAAAATTAAAAACAATAATTAAATAATTTTTAATAGAATAATTAAATAAAATTTTGCAATATACCCACGCGGAAATGTAAAGAAATAAACAATTTAAATCGATATAACAATAATTTGATTAATAAACAATTGTAAAATATAAAATAATAATTAAACAAATATCAGATAGAAATAGTTAAATCTGCGGAACCGGTGAAGCGGAACGCCATGCTTGATTGCGCGCGCCGCGCGCCGGTACAAGCGCGACCTGTAGAGAGGTCAAATCTAATCAGTCTTATCGCGACCGCTGAAGGATACGGATGGATCTGTCAAACATATACCGGTACGGGTTGATACCTTGGATATTCGTGCATGGATTTATCAGTGTATTACCACAAGTGTTACTGTGTTTGCCTATAGTGTTTCCTATAGTGTTTCCCATGTGTTTTGGAATATTTATACGGATATATTAGTTCGTTTTATGGTGTGGAACCCCATGTACCTGCATGTGCTTTATTGTGTTTTATGGTGTGGCACCCCATGTACCTGCATGTGCTTTATTGTGTTTTATGGTGTGGTTCCCTATGTGCTTTGGCATATTTTTACGGATTTATTAGTGGGTTTTATGGAGTGGTACCCTATGTGTCTTGGCATATTTATACGGATTTATTAGTGGGTTTTATGGAGTAGTACCCTTTGTGTTTTGGCATATTTATACGGATTTATTAGTAGGTTTTATGGATTGGTACCCTATGTGTTTTACTATAATTTTGCAAATATTTTATAGTGTTCAATGGTTTTGATCTTCGAGTGTTTTGGGATGTATTTGCATGTGTTTTACCGTGTTTTATGGTGTAGTTATTCCCATATAGTTTTGCATGCATATTTTTGAATTATCCTATATATTAGCATATTAACTACAACAAATTGAGAGAAAACATATATCGTTCAAGAGTCGTGATTTACATGCTTCTAGATGAGTGCTTTGGCCAGTGGGGGTACCATTTCTTTGACGAGCCAACAGTCGAGCTATGGATCAATCTAAGATGCGCGGCGAGTGCAGTAGTGCAAGTCAACGATCGGTGAGTCGCATGCTTTAAAGTTCCTCCGGTTCCCATCATGTCGTAGGACGAATGGTCTGTAGCGACACGGGAATTGGTTGTAATTTTTATTTTTTGAGCGAGCATAGTGACCCACGAATATCACTGTATTATTTTATACAATGATAATCGTGCAAATTGCTTTTTTGCGTATTTTATGCCTTAGCTCAGGATAGGGTTTTCTTGTACATATTTACATATATAGATTTCGAGTTTAAAAATGTACAGAAGTCGGATGACCCTCCGACTTCACAGTACACTTTCTTTTTTATATGTACAAGAATTTATTTCGCGATGAGCGGATTTCAATATCAAAGTAATAAGCATGAATACTATTAATTCAGCAAAAAGGTATGATTTTATTAGAGTGTGAAAGTTGAATTGAACTCGGGTGTCGGAGGCGTCCCAGGACGTTCTCCCTAGGTGTAGGCATTTTTGCACTCGGGTGGTTGTATGAGAACCGTGGAGTGAATTTTTGTGAGAATGATTTTTGCCCTTTTTTAAATATAGCGATAGGCAGGCAGGTAGTTTACTTCTGGTGTGATTGAGTTTAGTTTATAAGTAGGCAGGGCCAGAGCAAGCTTTCATGTTTCTCTTCGTATTCTCCTCTAATACGTGAGAAGCTTGTATCTGGGGTTGGGAAACCAAAAATCAAGGGAAAAGATGAAAATGCAATTTAATTAATTTATCAATTAATTAATTTAGCATTCTCTCTTGATTTTTTCAAGGCCAAGCCTTATTAGTTTGTAAGTCGTAGTCGTGGTACTAGACCCGATTACAAAAATGAAGTATTAAAGTGAAAGTGCTGTGAAGTGAAGTGAAGTGAAGTGAAGTGAAGTGAAGTGAAGTGAAGTGAAGTGAAATTAAAAAGTGTTTTGTGCTTGGACATTTGCAAAAATTGTGCAGGTATGCGAGTAGCGATTCAAGGGATCGTTGCTCGTTTACGTGTTACGTTTTTA